TTATAATAGTTGTGGTGATCGTGCTAAGTACCTACATCGAATTTGTAATGTAGTTACCTACTTATTTTTATCATCCTTGATTTTTTAACAATTTAATTAAAACTGAATAATAATTTATAACAACCAATATTATCCAGTGTCATACATATTGCCTCTGTAGATAGTAAACAATTTACTTAAATGTGTCAAAATAAACATATTACATTATTATACACGCATTCATGACAATTTTACACAGACACACACATACATATAAATCCTCCAATATTTTATCTGGATTTATATATGGAATAAATACAAGTCTGGATGATAACTTAAACATATTTATTATTATAGCTTAAAATTGGACCTAAAACTGGCTCTGCTGGAGGAAAAAATTGCAAACTTACTACAACTGATGAATTATTTTTAGACATCATTGGTCGACAATCACCAATTGTACAGGGTCTAGGTGTACAAGATTCTTTGAGCCATACTCATGAAACTGTACTAGAGTGTAGTAATGAGAATGTGGTAGCAAATGATGTAAATTTGGTCCACTCTAATTCACCAGACAATTCAGCAGACACATCAACCATAAATATTATTAGAAATTCATCACCAAATGATAATGTTAAAAATATTGAAAAATGTAAGTTTGCATCATGTAATGTAGGTCTAAATTATCAATATTATTATTTTCCAACATTATTCATTACAAATATTTTTTTGTATAGCAAAGAAAAGAGTGGTAGTAGTCAGTTCTTTGAAACAATATAATGATAGGGATGAATTAACGGCCTTAAAGCGTAAAACAGTACGCCTTAAAACAGTCAAATCAATGTTTCTAAAATGAAATAAAAGAATATAGGTATGTATACTTCAAGAAATAAGGAACACACTATAATTAGGAATTGAATAGTTATTTTCTAAACATTAAGATAAAAATTTAATAACTTAGATTACCTTTCCGGAATCGATATTTGAATTTTTGAACTGCTTAATTCATTCAAATTTATTTCAATGGATCCATCTTCTTTACAACTTTTTAAAAAACTCAACAATGTGGGCAAACATTCCTTTGGATCTGATTTATAAGAAATGCATTACACAAATAAACAGTTATGAACAATTGTTACTAAACCAATAAAAGTAAGTCAATATTTTAAGTCAAGACAAAAATGAAAGTTAACAACAAATAGGGGGAGTTGTTTAAGTGAACTTGAGAAAAAAGGTTAACATACAAGTAGGTACATATTTCTGTATGAGTGTTCACAGAAAAATGTTAAAATATACAATCTACCAAACAGTTTTGTTTTTTATTTTTTATATACATATGATTATCATAATTTTAATACCTTTATAATATAAATGAATTATGAAAATTTACTTTAAAATTAAATATGTAGTTCCACCTGTACATCAATACATTTTTCATAATGGATATAAAATAAATTGACTATTAATTTACGTAGGTACTTACCAGCTTGCTGAAGATAATCCAACGCCGATTCATCCACAACGAAATACTAAGGTTCAGATCCTATTTTTATGACTAAATTATGTATAGCCATGATTTAAATTCAATGATGTACAATAGTACAGACTATTAACAATTTTTAAATTATAAATTAAAATATTTCATACACAAACACAATATAAAAAATATTAAAAATAAATATTTATACAGGTTGGTAGTAGACAACTGACTAGAAAATAATATAGGCAGTGGTACAAATATTTTATTTATATATTTGTTATTTTCCTAACCTAACATTAATCAGAATTATGATAAAGCCGAAATGATAAAGAAAAATTCATGTTTCATCTGCTCTTGCATTGTGTTGCACCAGTACGATTATCAGTGAAATATTCCATTGCACACTTGGTGCAAAAGTGCAGAGTGGAAAACGCTATTAGTTTTATCAGCTTCTATGCAATAATCGTATTATTTTTGCATTTTAGATTCTGAGGAATGCGCGCATTGATTTTGCAAAAATGTATGTTTTTTATTTGAGTCTGTCATAGTGTCATCATTACGTTTTGAAGTAGAAATAATGCTTTAATTTTTTACTTCAGCCCCTCTTTGAAAAGAAAATTCATCTAGCTGGTACTAGGGGTCAAATGTAAAAAATTTCCATTTTTTTTTCAAAAGCGTGAGGAAAAACCCTAAAAAAGTAACGAAAAAACGGGATTTTCACGCATTATCTGTTAGGTATTGACAAAATAGATTTTTTTATTTTGCTGTAACTCAAAAACGAATTATTGTGTAAATACTTGATATTTTCATCTAATGTTTATATAAGCGTTATCTGTTTACGATTAAATTATCAAAAGAAATTATAAAAGTTAATTTTTTTTTGCTTATAAAATAAATTGGCTATCCAAAAAATCTTTAAAATTGAATACAAGGTTTATTATAAATTTTACTATTATCGAACTAAAAAAAAAAAATCAAAAATCGTTAGTCACAATTTTTGTTTATAAGCATTTAAAGTTCAAATGTTTACGAAATATGACAAAATCGAGAAAATTTGCATGGGATTGTGAATAAATTATTGAGAAATCCATAACATTTTTGTGATTTTGACATATTTCGTAATATTTTTATCCTTGCCGTAAGGAAATATGCAACTCGTCCGAAATCATACTTAAAAATTAATTACTTTTATCAAAAAAACATATATTATATAATTTAAATATAGGTAGGTAATATAATATATCCTATATAGACTGACAATTAATCATCTCCATTTAGAATCGTTTTTCGTATACAATGATAGTATGATACCTATCATTGCATTCAAATTTAACACATCCTTTATAGGTAGTAATCTAATCTCCATCTTTACTATACAGCAGAGCGTACACACTTGCCCACTTTTTATTTATAAACTTCCATATTTTCCTTTTTTTTTATTACATATATTTACACATTTAGATTTTTTAAATACAAATATGAATCCAAGACCTATTTTAATTTATAAGTAAATTTTTTACAATATTTTGTATTCAACTAACTGTTTTATCTCGTGTTTTCATGTACCTAGCTGGACAGCATGACTCATTTTTATTTAAAATTACATTTTATGTTTTTTGCTTTAAAAAGAGGATCAGGAGAATATTTAAAGAATATATTTTAAAGATTTTGAAAAAGTTGTATTTAAAATATTTCTAAAAAATTATAAGAACAATAAACAAATAACATTATCGATGAAACTTAGTTATAAAGTTCTCAGAATATTTAAGTTGAGAAATTGTTATCTGGGAACAGACATGCATTTGATTCATTATTTGGATTTCAAGAATTGTATAGCAGTCGTTGCAATTTGTGTAGTCATACAACAACTAGTGATGCACCGACGACAAGTTTGATCCTACATTTGGATATTCCACAAGACAGATCACAAACTCTGCAAACATTATTTTCAACTGATCAAAATGTATGGTCTAGCATATCAGACTACAGATGAAATAATTGTAATAACATCAGATAATATTAGCCCATGAATACATAATAATTCAATTAAAATTATTTACTACAACCTTCATAAACGAACAATTTGTTTCCAACAAGATAACCAATTTAAAACTTAGCGGTGTACCGTCCAGTACTTTAGAAATTGCTGGAGCGCGTTACAAACCTCAAGCCGCCATATTACATATTGGACAAAATACGAGCTCTGGCCATTATATCCCATATCTGAAACAAGCACATACTAATTGGGTTTCTGCCAATGACACAACAATTGCTGAAAAAAAGTGTCCGAATAATAGCAAAGATGTATATGTTATCATTCTACAAAAAATATAACAATATTTGGACGGCGTTCGGGAAAAAGGGTATAGGGGAAACTAGGGTAAGTTGGCGACCTTAAGATTTAAACATTTTTGGAGGGTTTATTTTGATTGTAATTAGTAAAGTTGTTGCAAAAATATAATCTCAAATATACAATTATGGAGTTAGTAGTATGAACACACTTAGTTTTAATCCAATACAAGGTTTTTTTTAATTTTTCAAAAAATCCATAAATTCGTCATCTTACCCAGTTGGTGGGGTAAGTTGAAATTTGACTGGGGTAAATTGTCGTTATATTAAAAAAGATAGTTTTTGTATAAAAGTTTAACATAATATAATTTTAATTTAGATTTTACCAATTTGTTAACAGAATATCCCTTTTTAAATATAAAACAAAATGTACTTTTCATCTAACTAAAAATTGTGTGTAGGTACTATACATAATTTTAAACAATTAGCAATATAACATCTTATTAAAATAATTCATTTGATTTTTAAAAATTAATTCAGAAATAAAATTTGCCTTTAATGTAAAAACAAATAACAAATACATATATGTTAAATTTATATGAACAATAACAAATTGTGTAACTTAAATTATTAAAAGTATTATCTAAAGATAGGTAAATAGGTAGTTAACAAATTAAATTCAGTCTTTGCTGTTACAAAAATCACAATTTGTTAACAGAATATTATTTTTAAATAATAAAATAAAATGTACCTTTCATCTAACTTAAAAAATAGTGAATACCTTACACATTTTTAAAAAATTAGAAATAAAACACCTTTTTATAATAATTAATTTGATTTTTCAAAATTAATTCAGAAATAAAATGTGTTTTTATTTATAAAAACAAATAACAAATATATGTTAAATTTAAAATAAAAGTATTATCTAAAGATAGGTAAATAGGTAGTTAACAAATTAAATTCAGTCTTTGTTGTTACAAAAATCACAATTTGTTAATAGAATATTATTTTTGAATATAAAATAAAATGTACCTTTCATTTAACTTAAAAAATAGTGAATACCTTACATATTTAAAAAAAATTAGCAATAAAACATCTTATTATAATAATTAATTTGATTAATTTTAAGTATAAAAACAAATAACAAATATATGTTAAATTTATATGAACAAATAACAAATATTGTATATTAAATTATACTGTTCTTAAAATTAATTTGTTATCTAAAGATAGTTGAACAGGTAGTTTAAATTCAGTCTTTGTTGTTACAAAAATCACATGAAAATACTTTCCAGTCATCAATTTCTGCACATAAGTCATGAGCCCATCTAGAACATATAATACATTTTATCCAGTCTTCTCCTTTGGTGTCGTTTTTATAGAGCTGTAAGCAGAAAAGACATTCCTCATCAGCAGAGTCGTCATCATCAGTTTGAACATATGTTGGTTCTTCTGTGGATGATTCTTCAGATGAATGATTTTTAGGTTAATAATTGTCTCTTGGTTTTTTTTACTTTTGTTGCATTTTTTTTGTTTTTCTAACTTTTTAAGTTTTCTCTTCTCAGCACGTTCCATTTTTTGAAGTTCCTTTTTTTCTTTTTGTTGTTTTTTTTCTTCCATCATATTTTTAACAGGAGTACTACTTATCACAAGACTTGGTGGTTTAGCTCTTGGTGCTCGTTTAGATATTTTTATTTCAGCTACTGGGAGTGGTGGAAGTGTAGCTGTTATTCTATATGTACCACTAGATCCTGGAGTCTGTTCATTATTTTCCAAAAATGGAACTTCTCTTGTGGTTTCATTTGGTATATTATGATCATCAACACTTAAAACATCAGTATCTAATGACCCTCCTACAATATTTATAACTTCTATTCTTGGAGGAATTTCAGCCACATGCACTGTGTTTTCTTCTTCTAACGGCCTATCAGTAACAACAGAAGATTCAAAGTCCAAGTCGGAAAATACTAATGGATTATATGGTTCAATGCCAGTAGCTCTAAATCCATGTACTGCATTTCCAACAGTAGCTGCTTTATTATATGCTTGTCCAAACAACATTCCAATGTCATGATCAACTATTGCTCGCCCTGGGTGACTGACTAAGAAATTGTCACAAACTTGACTGTAAAACGTTTTTAATGGCCCGAATACAGAAACATCTAATGGCTGAAGCCGATGAGTAGTATGTGGAGGAAACCCCAACATTATAATATGTTTTTCACGACAAAAATTTATGGCATCTAACGATACATGAGATGCATGATTATCAAGAATTAAGAGAATTTCATTTTCAGCTGATGGTTTGACATGTTTGACAAAATGTTCAAGATAAATAAGAAATGTGTCAGATGTCATCCATCCACTTTCATTGCATGTGCCAAATGAACCTGGCGGAGTGTTATTCATTAATTCAAGTTTCATTCTTTTACGGGGAAATATAATAAAGGGTGGCACAAAAACACCTATTGCACTCATGCCACAAACTACAGTGATATTTTTACCTCTCTCTCCTGATACTATTTTTGTTACTCTGCGTGAACCGGTAGGAGATATAACCTTAGGAAGTTTGGTTGGAACTGTAGATACTCCAGATTCATCAATGTTAAAAATTTGACTAGCATTAAATTTGTATTTTAAACGAAGTTCTTTCAGTGTAGTAAAAAATGATTGTACATTATTTTTATTAAATGCCATAAGCCGCCCAATTGAGGTAGCTTCAGGTGCTCTCAGGCTAAACTTGTATTTACTCATAAAATTTGCTAGCCAATCATCACCAGCCATTTTTGTTTCTCGATTAAAACGATGTGGAATATTATTGTGTTCTGCAAAGTCAAATACCATTTTTTTACACTGAATTTTAGTTAGACCAAACGCACGTTTATCTATGTCTGATATGTAGTTGATTAGTTGTTTCAATTGGGATTCTGAAAAAGTGTTTCTAAATCTTCCTCCATGAACTGGATGATCCTTAAAACATTTACAATTAATACATATTTACTTAAAATGTAATAACTTATATTTAATTACATACTTCTTCATTATTCTTCAGATAACGTCTTAGGGTAGCTTCAGGAATCCCATATCTTTTTGCTGAACTGAGGCAGGACGGTTTTTCACTAGTTTTGAAATCTTTGATGGCATTATGTAAATCATTTGTTGAATAGGACTTTTCAGTTTTCTTCTGGTAAATTCTTGGCATTGTAAAACTAAGAGAATAGTCATAGTTATAATTTGAATGTAATGATAACTTTTATTAATATTTGATAGGTACTAAACAAGTACCTATTTAAAACAAAAATTATTTATATAAAGTATTGTCCAGTAAAAAAGGTACCTAATGGAACATGTCAATTAAACTTAATTATTTTTAATAATAAACAAGGTAAGGTACCTATTAACAATTAATATTTTGAATGTAGTTCATAATTATAATTTATAATATTATATCTGTACAATGTAGTAGGCACTTATACTTTATAGAATTGTTGTTCTGGGGTAAGTTGACCATCGTCAACTTACCCCCGCCAACTTAGCCAGAACGATAACATTGTGTTTGTTCAATTTTTTTCAGAACGTACATTATTCAATATAAATGAACAAGATATAAAAATAAAGAATGGAAAATTTCGAGAAAATCGATTTTGGTTTTTGGTGTAACTTTAAAATAAATGACCGTAAATACATGAAATTTTCAGTGGTTGTTTATATTTGCATTTTCAATACACGATAACATTTTCAAAATATTTTGATTTATTTTGAACTGTTTAAGGACATTTTCAGTTTCCAATTTTATTAGTTTTTTTTCTAGAAATATCAATAAAAATTTATTTGTTGAGTAAAAATACTTGAAAATTTAATACAAGGCGCCTACTATATTTTTTCAAAGACAGATGAAAAATATTAAAATCGATAGTCACAGTTTTTTTTTAAGCATTTAAAGTTCAAAAAATGACAAAATATGGAAAAATCACGAAAATTTGCAAATTATTTCGAGTTAGAAATTCATAAAAATTTTTCTTTTTAAATCTAAGATATGAGTGTGAGATATGAGTGACAAAAAGTGTAAAAAATTAATACAAGGCTCCTGATATATTGTTACAATAGCAATTGAAAAATATTAAAAATACATATTCACAATTTTTTTTTATAAGTATTTAAAGATCGAATTTTGACAAATTTATCAAAATCTCGAAAATTATCAATCATTGTAATTAATAAATTATAAAATGTTCAGTTTTTATAGCTAAGGATTGCAAATTTAAAACAAAGGTTCTCATAAATAGTTCATACTGTAATCAAAAAATCTAAAAAATATATGAACACAGTTATTTTTTACAGACATTTTAAATTCAAATTTGGACTAAATTACATATTAAAAAACATAGAATAACTATTTTAGTTATTTTGTTGTGATTGAATAATATTATTCGTGGGTACTTGAAACTTCTAAAGTGTACTATTATATATCTATGATAGTATCACGGTTTTTGTTGATGTATAACACGTTATAAGTACCTAATGGATATTGTGATATGATTAATTTGGAATTTATTATAGGTCAAATTTTGGTTTAGTACCATGATATGTATATAATATGTCTTATACCTAGACTGACATACCGTCTCCTCTCAGAATCGTTTTTCTTATACAATGATATTATATCGTTGAATTCAAATTTAATATCATCCATTATACAGTGACCCACTTGTAACCTGTACAGGAGAGCGACATCCACTTGCCCCCTTCTTTTAATTTGTATTGTTTTATACACGTAGGTAAACAATAAAAATAATAAATACACAATATTCTGAATTATCGTAATTTCCTTTTATTTTACAAATTTTTAATCTTATAGCAATAGGTATAATATAATTTTATTATTGACATAATAATATAAAAAATATAAGCTTTTTGTATTTTATATTAGGTAATTATAACCACATCATACAAATATGTATTAAAAAAACAAAACATTTTTATATTATTGAGATCCTTACTTTAGGAACTTTATGTGATGTTTAATATCATTAAGATTATTCAGTACATTAATGATTTATTAAAAGTTATAATTAAAATTAAATGCAGATAGGTAACATCAAAAATACAAAGAAGTTAAAAAAACTAAGTTGAATTTTCTAACCGTCGATTTCGACTCGGTAAGAGGGTTAACTGAGATTAGGTTACTAAAAAGTTTATGATAAACACGTGATAACAATAAAATAATAATTTAATAAAGTTACTTTATAGTAATATTATAAATTATTAAACATTTTAATAATTTTAATAATGGAAAGTACTTTCATTGATTTTGTCAGAGACAACGGTGAATGCATACAAGTAAAAAACAAGTAGTCAAAATAATGGTTTGATAAAATATTTATAATAGTGGATGTTAAAATATCAGCCATTTCCCCTCCCATGACAAAATCATTTGACCGACACTACCTATTCACCACAACTATTATTTTTGACCGTATTTTCCTTTATAAGGATGTTGGTATTCATTATACTACATTGTTATACTTTGAGCATCACATAAATGTGTACTTGGTTTTAGATGACAGAATTTATGAAATGTTTGTGGGTATCAAATACCTAAATGAAATTGGTGTTTTGTCCCAAGATGATATGAATACTATTTGCTAATATTGATCCTTTTTGCTATACAACTATAGCAGGTGTTTGTATGGCTATCTATAGATCAAAATATTTGCTATACGATACTATAGCTGTTTTGGATAAAGAGAAAAACGAAAATTATTCAAAGCAATCTATAACATGGTTAAAGCATTTTATTAACATAAATATCTACCACGCTTTAAATGGTGATGAAAAATCAAAAACAGTTTATCAATATCATGGATGTTTTTGGCACGGTTGTACTAAATGTTATAGAGATAAAGAAACCATAAATAATATAAACCATGAAACAACGGATGATGTGTATCAAAAAACAATTGAAAGAAGTAAAATAATAAAAAATGCAGGTTATAATCTTATTGAACAATGGGAATGTGATTGGATAAATAGTAATATATACAAAAAAATGGAAAAAGCTGATATAGCTGACCCTATTAATCCTAGAGATGCTTTCTTTAGAGGTAGAACAAATGCGACACAATTAAGAGTAAAAATAAAAAAATGCGCTATATTGATGTATGTAGTTTATATCCAACTGTGAATTATTATGATTATTATCCTGTTGGGCATCCTGAAAAAATATTAAATCCAAAAGTATATGATAAAAATTGGTTTGGATTAATTAAATGTAAAATTTTACCTCCAAGAAATCTTTATCATCCTGTACTTCCAGTTAAAATGAAAATGAAAAAAAGTGAAAAGTTTTTATTTCCTTTGTGTTATAAATGTGCTGTATATCAAAATAAAATATGTAATCATTCTCCAAATGAAAGACAATTTATAGGAACATGGACAACAGATGAAGTTAATAAAGCTTTACAAAAAGGATACATAATAACAAAAATGTATGAAGTATGGCATTTTAAAGAACAAACAACAGATTTATTTAAAGAGTATATTAAGAATTTTATGAAAATAAAATTAGAAAGTTCAAAACATAATTATAGTTCTAATGAAGAATATAGAAAAGAAGTTTTTGATAAAATGGGTATTTTGTTGGATATAAATCAAATAAGTGATAATCCTGGTAGAAGAGCTGTAACAAAATTATGTCTAGTTAGCTTATGGGGAAAATTTGGACAGCGACAAAAAATGAAAAAAACTGAGTTTGTTACAGACCCACAACAATTCTATAAAATATTATTAGATGATAGATTAGAAAATATAAATATAAAATTATTAAATGACAATATGATACAAATGTGTTATAATTATAAAAATCATTACGTTGAAAATTATCATAATACAAATATTATAATAGCTTTATTTACAACATCTAGTGCAAGATTAAGATTATACAAAATGTTAGATAAATTAGGTAGAGCTGTAGTTTATTTTGATACCGATTCTATTTTCTATATAGATAATGGTGTTAATAAAATTTAAACAGGAACAATGTTGGGTGAATGGACTGATGAATTAGGTGAAAATGTACATATTATAACAGATTGGGCATCTACAGACCCTAAAAGTTATTATTATAAAACAAATGATAATACATTTAAAACGGTTATAAAGGGTTTTACTTTAAATTATCAAAATTTATTAAAACTTAATGGGGAAGCAATGATAAAATTAATTGAAGAAAATAATAAAAATATTAATATAGAATTAGAATACAAACAAATAACACGTGATACAATTACTAAAACTTTAGTTAATAAAAATGTTACAAACAAATTCTCATTTGATTATGATAAAAGAATAATATTAACAGATTATGATACAATACTATATGGTTACAAATTATAATCATTTAAAAACTAAGTGTTTATAATTATATATTAGGCGTGTTTTAGCGGTGTAACCGGCGCTAACCGCTAGTAAACTGTTTACTGATATCGTTTTCGCGATTACGGTTCCTGTAACCAGGTAACTAATTTCGTGAACGTGTTTAGTGAATTTTCTAACCGTCGATTTCTACTCGGTAAGAGGGTTGACTGAGATTAGGTTACTAAAAAGTTTATGATAAACACGTGATAACAATAAAATAATAATTTAATAAAGTTACTTTATAGTAATATTATAAATTATTAAACATTTTAATAATTTTAATAATGGAAAGTACTTTCATTGATTTTGTCAGAGACAAAGGTGAATGCATACAAGTAAAAAACAGAGAGGTTTATTGCAAACTTTTGGACAAACGTAAGTTATTTATTTCCCAAGTATAATAATCATAAGATTACTGATTAAGGATATAGATTGGTGCTTAATACCTTAAATTACCCTATACTCAGCGGTGCAACTAGACACTTTGAGGCCCTTAAGTCAAATATAAAAGGGGGCTCCTACCCAAAAATATATAAAAAACTAAGATAAACCATTTCCATCACTCTCAAAAGACAATCAATAATAATTTCATAAAATGAAAAACAATTTTTTAAACTACAATATATTTTGGTGTTTGATGTTGGTGATAGATCCCCCCACGACCTTTTAAGATTCTGAGTGGAGCGATCAATGTACTAATTTTCTAACGATTTGTTTTTTTTTTTTTTTTTTTTGGTGCGTATACACAATTAGTAGTCAAAATAATGGTTTGATAAAATATTTATA